CTCCACCCTCAGAAGTACGTCCCTTGTCAAGGGGCTTTCCTTACCTGCAACCAAGAAAGTCACCACCGGCGATGTGACTTCCTGATCAAAACCCAGTGAACTAAAAGACCGCTGTCACCCCTAATGCTGGCTATGCTCCCACCCAGGCCCTGCGGACCACGCACTGAGCTGAGGAGCCCGCTCCTGCCGGCCCGGCAGAGCTCACGGGCCTGAGCGCCTGCTTCGTTGCGCCAGCCCGTCCAGTCCTCTGAAAGCCTGACAGGACCCCGCCCACCACCCGTCTGCCCCTCCGTCCAGGCGCCTGTGCCACAGGGAGCCCTCCTTCCGTCGCGGCTTGCAGCTCACCTGGCCTGGCCTCCACGAGCACCGGCTCAGACGCGTCCGAGGGCAGCCCCACACCGCTGGCATTCACCGCCCGCACGCGGAAGACGTAGGTTTTACCTTGGTGTAGGTCAGAGACCTTGAAACACAGAGGCAACGTCACGGGATTAGGTAAATGAAGGTGATTTCGCTGTTTCCCACATTTTATAATGAACACGCTTTCTTTTTAACAAAGCCGTAGCCTCTAGCTGGGCTCCCTCTGCATCACGAGCTAGGAGAGCAGGGGAGAAGGGGTCACCTCTGTAACCTGACTTTGTGGGGATGCACAGGTCTGCCACGAGTTCGATATTTTCTGTTTTCTTTGCTCATTTTAAAGCAGAATTAAATTCATGTTGCCTATTTTGTAATCTGGTGTTCATATTTAACATGATTCTATGAGACTAAACACGATTTTAGATGTGATTTCTAACTGTGTGAAACATCCCAGCATTTGGACACATCGATCTGTTCCTATACCTGTGGAGTCTGCACATTGTAATCCGCAGTGATAACCATGAATAAAACCCATATTAGCTAAGTCCCTAACTAATTTGTTCACGAGATTCTTAGAAGGTGATTTACTCATTCCAAAGTAACACTCTTGTTGCATGTTGTCAATTGTCCCCGTCACTGTGTATCCATGTGCCCAGCTCGGACGTGGCCTTTCTCTGAGGACGGGCGCAGGTCACCTCCCTGTCTAAACCACACCGCACAGCCCACAACCGAAAGAAGGACGTGTCTGGACGAGGGCAGCTGGGCCATGAGCAGGGAGAGGGGCCCACAGGCCTAAGGACCAGTGTCACCACCGACCTCAGTGACGGTGAGTTGTAGGGGCCGAGACAGAAATGTGTGGAGAGCGGACAGAGCAGTCCAGCCCTGTAACTGTGCCAGACGCGTAAGAGTGTGTGCGTGCACGTACGTGTGTGCGTGTGTGTGTGTTAGCAGACAGACTTCGCTCAGCAGTCACATGACCTGGTGAAATTTACGCGGGGCCAGAAGTGAAAAGGCGTGGATATTCACTCATCGCCCCCGCAGAGCACGCGGGGCGGCCTGTGCACACATCTGAGTGCCTCGTGCTGCTGGGGACGGTGTCAGCCTGCCCTGTGGGAAGAACAGGCCACAGGGTCCCTGCCCACAGCCGCAGCTCTGCGGGGGCCGGCGATGGGGCCACTTCCTCCCGGCGGGCACCCCACGTCCTCTGAGCTGGCCCAGTCTCGGGGCCAGAACACCTGCTCGCAAAGACAATGCTCCGGGGGGAACGGTCACCTTTAAGTAACGGACCGCAGTGGCCGCCTCGTTGACGGTGACCCAGTCTTCGGAACCTTCTTCCTTATAGTCCACAAAATACCCAGAAACGGGGCTGCTGCCGGAGTACACCGGGGCTTTCCACAGCAGGACCAGCGACGTGTTCCTGACCTCACAGAACGTCAGGTCGTAGGCAGGACCTGAGACATGGGGTGGGGGTGGGATGTGACACACACGCACCGCTGACCCCGCGGTCACAGCCTGCGGACCCAAGACCGCCGAGCGCACGCCCCACGCCACAGACGCCTCTGCTGCTCATCACGTGTGCGGGTCCCCCTTCCTCCAGGAGGGCTGGAGGTGGGGGTGATGTTCCTGCAGCCCCGTCGATGGGGCATGTAGGGGAGCGTGGGCGCTTGGGGAATCAGTCATGAGTCCACACGGCTGGCCCCTGGCCGGCAGGTGCTTGTCACAGAGAGAGAAGGACGGGCACTCGTGTGACCCATCCTCTGGGCTGGACACCTGCCTGTCACACGACCTTCATTCAGAGAGTCTGACACCTGCCGGCTAAGGGGACACCAGGCCCTCTACCACGTCACCCTCAGCTCTGAGTCCCGCCAGCACCCAAAGCTATTCCCCAGGGGCGCTGACTGTGGGTCCAGCGACGTCGAGTGTAACAGGAACGGCGAGCTGCCCCGTGTGAGGGACCTCGCACTGCGCCTGTGCGTGTGGCTAGGCCACTTCATGTTAAACCCTCAGGAAGGCTCTGAACCTTTCAGCTTGTTTTTCCATTGGCTTTTCTAAGGGGCAAAAATTAATTTCATTAAAACAAGTACCAAAAAAGAAAAAGAAAAAAAAAACAATATACTCTTGCCACAAAATTCAAAAATAGTCTGAGTTTTTTAGCGTTTTCAGCTTCAACCTTCAGGTTTTTCTTGTTTTGTTTTTCCAAAACACGAGTACATGACCCGCTGCATTCAGGCTCCTGACGGACCAAAGGCACAGAGCCCAGGACTTGAGACTCTGTGACGGGAGCTTCCGCGCACCGCGTCCCGAGCACACGCGATTCACTGTTGCCTGTTTTAGAACCGGGGGCTCCGCGAGGCCCAAACGCCCTGAGAAGGGGACTGTGGCTCGGGCACAAGTGGGCGTCCTGAGGTGACACTCCATGTCAGCCTGGGGCCAGCGCGTGTCCCCTCCTGCCCGGGCCACCCAGACCTAGACCAGGCCCCAGCTGTCCCTCCCACACGCCCCTTTCTTGCAGCACAGCTGAGCACTAATCGGTCTACACCTGTCACCTGCTAACCTGTCCATACCCGCAGGCTATAGCCCCAGGTCACCCCAACTCAGCGATGCCCGTGCCTGGCACAGTGGGGGCGACGCCATGAGACATGGATCGTGACTGAACCCTGCTCTCTGCAGACTGGTGACGGCTGCCGCAGACGTGGGGCTGGTGCCAGGGAAAGCCACTTCTCAGGCTCAGCCTGTGTGCCAGGTGCATGCGGGGGGGGGGGGGGGGTGTCCAGGACGTGGGCCTCTTACCAGGTTCCGGTGCCGTCCAGGCCTCGCACTTGAAGAGCTCGCTGGGGTCCGAGGGCTGCCCGACCCCCGCCAGGTTGGTGGCAGCAATTTTGAATTCATATAATGAGCCTTCTGTCAAACCTTCCACCTGTTTAGATTGTATTTAAATTAATATGTAAAATAAAAGTGGTGTGACAGCCACGGGGACAAAAGTGTGTTTGTGACTGATCCATGGAATGACCCTGAGGGTGGGGACCGTGTCATCTGAGGAAGGCTGCCGCGCTCCGCCATGTCACCGTCACTCTGGGACACCTACACGCTTCGCCTCATCCACACCATGAAGGCCCCTACGGGGATGACACGGTGGCACCCTTTTGGCAGACAGGGAAACTGAGGCTCAGAGGCGTGTGACGCTGGGCTACATGTCACCTGGGCTACCTGTCACCTGCTCCCAGCACAGTGGCTAGGCGTCCCTTCAGGACAAGGCTGCTTGGCAGCCATGTGGGCGCTTCTCTGTCTGGTCGGCGCCCCAAAGGACAAGTGAGCCTTCTCCAGGACCGCTGGCAGGGCTGGGGACAGACCTAACATCTAGAGACACTGCCTCTGGGGGCCAAGTGCCCCTTAGCCTCGTGTGAGAAGTCAAGGTCCTTTCTGCCCTGCAGACGGGCTCCGTCTCCTCCTGGGGGGAGCGGCCCCCAGAAAGGAAGGAGGCACTTGTGTAAACTATACACCCTTATACTTAATATACTATCACAGACCTTAGGCCTTTGAAGAGTCCCCCCCAAAACAAAACCTTCACTTCACAACGTTAGTGCCCCGTGGAGCAGACTTGTCATGCCACGTGGTGACAGTGATGTGGTGACTCTGTGAGCCGGCACTTCCCACGGCAGGAAGGCGGGGAGGAGACCCCGGGAGGGCAACCTCGCCCCCACGTTGCTCAGATGCCCATCGAAGGCTCGGAGGAGGAAGCCGCTGCCTGCTCAGGGTTTGCGCCTGGAGTTGATTCCAGACCTTTCTGACCCCAAATCGACACTCTTCCTGTTCTACCCTCCTGGACGTCACGTGTACTTTGAACAAGTGACTTACTCAGAGGCGGGAAATACAAGCCTTTCTTAGGAAAGTGGTGAGTACAGGCAGAGGCAGCCCCGTTCTAAACGCTTCCTGAGCGGAGTCCGTGTCCCGCTCTGCACCCAGGATGAAAACGCCCTGCCTGCTAGGGGCTCGTAGCGTCACAAAACGGACGCACGCCACGAGGGGCCTCGGAGCCCAGGTGTGGGTCACAGTTGTGTCACTGTCAAACCACTCACTCACTCAGCTCTCCTTCTCTTCACTGCTTGGTGAGGTCCTTCCAGCGCGAGGGCTCCGTGACCTCATGAGGCTGTGAATTGTTTTACCCATTTTTGTTCCTGGATCTATTACCTAATGCCGCGGACCTCTGAACCCTGGACGAAGGCCCGAGCCCGCACGTGCCATGCCCCGGAGAGAGGGAAGCGGCCGACGCACCGTGATGAGCCTCTCTTTGACAGGGGAAGAGTTGACCTCGTGCCAGTTCTTATGGTGAGCCTCGCGCTTGTCCACNTGCTACTTCCTACTTGCCAAACTACTGAAATGTAACTAAACCTCAACTTTGAACGCACTGCATAAGCAGTATGTCCTGAACCAGGAGTTATTTGGTGGATAGAAGACAAACTCTAGAGGTTGTTTAATTTCTAAAGCAATTTTTGGCTTATATAAATAGTCCCCACGCCCAGTCTCCCACAAAACCCTTCCTCTAAGCAAATAAGGCTTTTCCATGCTAGTGCCAATCTTTGAAAGTGTTATAAAGCTCAAAAAAGACAGCCTGTGTCATACAGACATTACCTCCTTCATCCATGACAAAACTGGAGGACACTCCATCCGTGTCACTTACAGACACAGAGTAAGTCCCCAAGTCCACTTGGTCCGGATTCTTAAAGTACAGCTTGGAGCTGAAGGGAAGGAGAGTAGGGGACGTTAATTACTCGTGTTCGGAGGCATTTCTAAGAGGTCACAGTTGTCAACTTCCAAGCATGACTTACTGGTCCCCCTCGGTTTTGATGTAAAAGTTCTCATCACCCGCAATGTCCTCGTAGGATTTACACCAAGTGAACTGCGAGGCATCCGTCATCTCCGGGCAGTCAAAGCTCAGGTAGATGTTACCCTCCTCGTCCACGCCAGCGCTGACTTCCTTCGTGCCTGCAGAGCAAGGACCCGAGTGGAACACATGCGCTTAGGGACACGGGGTCCTGTGAGCTCTTCTTTCAGACACTACATTGAGTCACCAGCTTCTACTCACCGTCCATCTGGGACGTGCGGTGGGAGGACGGGGGCGGGGAAACCACGGGGGCAGGGCGCAGGGGGCAGGCGGCTCGCATTTCGTGTTAAGTCACTGCATTTCTGTCCATTTCCTTTTCTGCACCCAGGACCACTAAGAGAACCTCTGGGGGTGCCAACCCTGGCCATACGGGCCCTTCTTCTGTCTGAGCGCTAACCCCCCGCACCACTCCGGGGGCCCCAGGCAGCCTGACTCTCACTGAAGGCCCCTCTTTCTCCACTTTTCCTTCCTTGTGAGGGGAGGTTGTTTGTCACTTTTCAACCAAGGTGGATGCGTGACCCAACCCAGGCCAGCAAGCAACCATCTCTCAGGACTCAGGAACTGGAGGGGACACCTCAGCCTCGCTCGTGAGCACCCCTGAGGCCAGGCACGTACACATGCCCGCAGGTCCCAAGGGGACAGAGACACACAGGAAGCGAGAGGCAGAAAAAAACGAAGA